GACGTGTTGCACAAGAGGCATTTGTAAGTATTTGTTTTTCTAATTTGAACTAATCTCATGAAGCTCATCAGGAAAGATCTGGTAAGGCTGAGACTGAAGGGTATTTATTCTGCAGAAGTGGAGGAAGCAGGGTAACTCTTTACTGTAGGGTACAGTTCATAAGGCCACATGAAACCTACATAAGCTTGTCATGACAACTGACATAACCCTACATATATGTTAACTGATGCTTATTCCAATAGGCATCATCTGCCATAAAGGCTACTTTGGCAAATTTAACCTTTGTGGAGAATGACGCCTGTTGTATAAGCGTTAATAAACATTTTTGTAGGGTTATAGCTGTTATCATAACAAGCTTATGTAGGTGTCGTGTAGCCTTATGAACTCTACCCTACAGTGAAGTATAACCAGACGCAGTAACGCTTTATTCGTAAAGCTTCATGACAGCTACATAAGCCTTTCATGACAACTGGCATAAACCTACTTATACATTTATAAAGGCTTTTTCCAACAAGCATCCACTATCAAAAAGGCTGTATTGGCCATTGTTGTTGTCATTTCTCCCCAGAAAGTGTTATGACAGCTGATGCCTGTCGGAATAAATGTCTGTTGTTATGAAAGGCTTATGTAGGAATCATGTAGCTTTATGTACATTACACTTCAATAGTGAAAGTGTCGATGTTGAAAGTGCAATGACTTTTTAATATTTACATTTGTATTTACGTTTTAAGTTGCAGGATGTTAGACATTAATATTACTAGGAACCTATTAGAACCTTTTTTTCGGTTTTCCAAATCAAACTCACCCAGTTTGACTGTAAACTTAAAGCAATTTTTTAATTCTACAAAAACACAAATACGTGCAGGGAGCATGGGCAGCCCTGACAAAGGGGCCTACCATTTTAGAGCTTGTCTTGATGCTAACTTATCTACATTGCATGTTATTTTTGGGTTATTAAGTAAGCAGATATTTGACTATTTCTTGGGAGGGAGGTTTGGATGCTACACTCATTTTCAAAATAAAAATGACTTCATATTTAAAGCATGATCTGTTTTGCACCCTTATTTGAACATCCTCTGACTCGAACGTCTATATCAGACTTATACCACACATAAGCCCACGATTAACAATAGCAAAACATGTCCTTCAGAGTAATCTGCTGCATTATCGGCATCAGCAATGCACATGTCCAAGACTTAGTCTGGTTGTTTTAGACAGTGTAAGAGGCTTTGCTGGACTGAACCCATGTGTAGCATCTCAGACAACATGAGCTGGCCAGTATCACGTCCCCCGTCCAAATGATTATGTTCATTAGGATGCAGAGGGCAAACTCATGCTAGGTCAGCCTTCTAGCTCTAAAGTAGGATAAATGTGGGCTTTGGAAATATAAAGAGAGACCAAATTACTGTCTAATGTATTACTGTCTGATTTAAGATGCATACGTCTTGCATACATGTTGCATCATTGTAAGCTATTCACCCAGTAATTCTAACAGTTTCAGCTTGTTGGTGATAATGGAAGGTTCAAGCTCAATAAAGCCAAAGTGCAGCTCATCTGCTGGCAGGAGCTTTTTAATTAATACGTCAAGGAACGCAAAGCAGCCAAACATGCCAGAACAGCTAGTAACCATTCATTTGTACGGGATCATTTAAGTAATGCTAACTGGTTTGCTTTCATTCTCTGTTAGCAACATTAGCTTTTCTGACTGTGTAGGCCCTTCTGCGTATGTGTGAATGTGATGTTTGATGCTTTGTTTTAAATGATGATCACATAGTAGCTATGTGGAGACCACTTAGCTATAAAGGTAGGCTATCACACGTGGGCCTGTGCACCTATTTTACCAGAAGTGCCTCTATTTTGCTTCACTTTTCAAGGCATTTTCAAGTGTGAAGCTTGGAGAGGCTACGCAGTGTTCCTCTTAAACTAATCCGATCATTATGAAGATAGCTAAGTTTAGCATTCAGACCCCCCCCCCTCTACACGCTGACCCCTCCAGCTCCTCAGACATGCATTGAAAAGCTTTGCCAATGCAGCGATTAACGTTCCCAGTCATATTATTACATTATTGACATTCAATTTGTGGTATGAATGTCCATATTTGCTGACATGCTGTCTATCTGGGAACAGCGTTCCCCCTAAAGATGAATCATTGCGGCTATCCCCAGCGCAGCGCTGTAGGTCTTTTGTGCCGTGCCGCTGAATGCTGTTGGTGTGTTTTGAATGCAGAGGGTGTAATGAGAGATAGTGGGGGGAAGAGGGACAGCAGTAAGAATACGCCCCTGCCTAGTTTGATAAAGCCGCTTCATTACTTGGATATTGTGTGCGTGGAATCAGTATGCGCGGGAGGGCCTCCGGAGGCATGGGTTTTATTGGCGGGCCTTGCACTGTTAAGCCTCATCCATTAAACAAATCATGGAGTTATGTATTAGATTAGCCATACACCCAGCATCGTGAGGCTTTAGCGAACCCAGAGAAACTCCGCATCGTAATCCCGGGGAATGAATTGCACAATAAACAGCTGGAGACGCCGGTGGAGGGGAGCATTCGTAAAGATTTATGGCAAATAAACATTGGTGTGGTGTTAGGTTTACAAGGAAAGTTCAAAAGGGTCCAATTAGGCGTCAGCTGAGCTTCTTTAATATTTCCTCAGTCACTGTTGGTCCATATCACTCGATCTTCACTTTGAGCCACGTTTGCCTAATGAGTTTTAATAAGAAGACGTCAGCTATAGAGGTCGAAAAGTTCAGAGGAAACAGCTTGATCTCCCTGCTGGATTTGACTCCATGACCCATCTGTCTGGGGAGGGGGCTCCCCCCTGTGGCGACAGGTCAGTACTACAGGGACACTGCGGAAATACCACGCACCTGCCAGACTGCATTTTTCTAGGGTCACACAAACACCTTGGCAAAGTTTTAAGAACAGGTTGCTGCAGTGGAAGACTCACTTTTAGAACTGATGTTCCAGACGCGACTCAAGTTTAGTACCATATCTGATTATGTTTGATAATGGTCAAAATTTGCTTTGAGATTAGACTCAGTCTGGGACAGAGGCCAATAGAGACAAAACAAGAGAAGTTCCGCTCTTTGGCCTTGAGTAGTGATGTTTCTGGGTCACTTTCTGACAAGTTAAGTTCAGTTATTAATAAAAAAATGAATAAAATATAATTATATTGTCATTTGAATGTGGTTCTTAATAAACGTTTTAAAAAAAATCTCCATTTCTCTCTCAGTTGCTCTCTCTCTTTCATTCCGGCTCTCTGTCTTCTAAACTCTATCTATCTATCTATCTATCTATCTATCTATCTATCTATCTATCTATCTATCTATCTATCTATCTATCCATCCATTTCTTTCATTCTCTCTCTGTCTTTCTCTAACAATTTCTCTCTCTCTTTCTTTCTCTTTCTCTTTCTGTTTCTGCCTTTCTCTTTCTAACTATCTCTATTTTCTCTCTGTCTCTCCCTCTCTCTCGCTCTATAACCCTATGTCTCATTCTCTCTCTGTCTTTCTCACTCTGTCTCTCTTTCTCTCTCTCTCTCTCTCTCTCTCTCTCTCTCTCTCTCTCTCTCTCTCCTTCTTCTTCTTCTTCTTCTTCTTCTTCTTCTTCTTCTTCTTCTTCTCTCTTACTCTTTAACCCTATGTCTCATTCTCTCTTGGTCTTTTTCACTCTGTCTTCTCTCTCTCTCTCTCTCTCTCTCTCTCTGAAGCATGTCAGTATGTAAGTGACTTCTCTAAAGCACCGTGTCATGAAGCCACACCAGATGTTTCAGCATATTGTAACTCCAGCAGGAAGTGCTCACCTTTCCTGGCAGGTGTGAAGGGGGCGTGTCATTGAGAGGACTTCACCGTGCTCTGAGTTCCAAACTCACTGTAAATCACACAGGTGCTTTTAAAGCACTTTCACCAGCTCTACTCATGTAGAGAAATGATTCCCAGTTCTGTCTCTGGAGTCTAACTGCTCTGAACATGTTACTGATTTCCTGCTCTAATACACTTGATTCAACTGAGCAGGTCATTATTCGGCCCTTCCTGAGGTTAAAATGGGGCTGTTATAGCAGGAACATCCTAAACGTCTGGAGAACAGACTGATCTCCAAACTCTCCCTTCAAAGCTCACCTCACAGTGAATCCTCTGTTCTCAGCACTTTCGCTCTCCTTCTGGCTGTTGTTGATCTTGTCCTTATTCATTGATTTTTTTGTATTTTTTTAGTGTGTTATGTAGTTGCTGTTGTTGCTGCTGCTGTTACTATTGCTGTGAATGATGCTTCAGTAAAGCACCCTTAGATATTAGGTTATTGCCATTATTATTATTATTATTATTACTATTATTATTATTATTATTATTATAGTTGCACTCTAGTCCATGATTAGGACATGTTAAAGCTGTGCAAAAGCTAAGCAGAATTACTGGCACCCTTGATGAAAAAGGCTGTACAATTGTTTTTATATGTTGCACCAACTGTAACAAAATCTTATGTTATCTTTTAATTAATCTTAAAAGAAACTTGTTTAATGAATAATTATAACCTGTAGGACCGCATATGAACTACATACTACTGTATATTTCTGTATATTATAGGTCTATCTATCCATCTACATATATATATATATAATATAAAGCATATAAAATGTTTCATTATTAAAAAAAATCGTTTTACAATAATTGTCACAAATAGAAACTCCTTTGAACTACGTACAACTTTATTTTTTAATATAACATTATTCTTAATTTTATTTATTTATTTATTTTACGTCCAAGTGAATCGAAAGTGACGCGTGTCTGAAGTATTTCAGGCGCTCATTAGCCCCGCGCGCACACTGAGACAGGTGTACTCGGGCTCGGACCCCTAGAGAGCCAATGAGGACGGAGATCGAATTTGCAGTGGGTGGGGTTTAAACGCCACTGGGCCAATCCCGAGCCCCCTGGGCGGGTCCGAGGCGTTTATGGGCGTGTCCTGAGCGTTTGTGGCGTCGCTGCAGAGCGAGCGAAGTGTGGAGAGTCTCATGGCACGAGAGAACGAGCCACATCGCCAAAGTGCCCTCGCGCTACTGCCCAACTTTGCTAGCCCCTTTCCAGCGCCGCGCGTGCGTTTGTGTTTGTGTGTGTGCGTGCGCGCGCTCAGACGACAGGACTAAACCGAGGCTAACGTCGCGCGCAGCGGCGCTCCACAGTTGCGTCTTCTGCTCCTCGCGCTCCGCTGACGGACTCCTTCAGAGGGATAACGCCGCCGTGTTTGGACATGTGAGAGGCGCAGGAGGGAGCGAGCGCGTTCGGCGTGTTGGAGTGAGTGAGTGCGCGCGCGTGTGTGTGGACGCGAACATGAAGCTGAAGACTTCGCTGTGGGGCTTCTTCGCCTTTCTGCTCGCTTCAGGGGCGCTGCTGGGGGGCTGTGACTCGCAACAAGGTGAGTGTGTGTGTGTGTGTGTGTGACGGTGCTGAACTTGGCGACTGATTTCGAATAGCCCGTTCCACCTTAAATGGCGCAGCACTTACATGCGCCATTTAAGGCGGAACGGGCAATTCGACCTGAGAAGCTGGGGAATAAGAAGCAAACTTCCCCCTCGTGAGAGAAAGAACGAGTGTGGATGACCGAGGGAGTGCGCGCGCGTGCTCGCCTTTGAGCATCTGAGGCATCTGAGTGAGCCAACGCGTGCACGCGCACATGCACTTCATGTAGAGTTAGCTGGTCATTCTGCTGTTGTCAAAACTGCATGGAGGAAAATAAAGTACCTTTCTGAGGGGTTTCCGAGCAAAAGGGTACCCATATGGTCATATGGTTCTCTGAAAATTGGTGCACGAGCCTCTGAGGAACTAAGGAAGGGCGCGTGGAGGCAGGATGGCAACAGTGGTCAGGCTACAGAGTGAAATGGGCACCGAATGGTCACCACATGGATCGCATGTATTGTTATTCTCAGCTCGTCTCTCGTAGGAGGATGTCAGTGTGTGTTTTCTTGGCTCGCAGCTTCACTTCTGGAAGGGATTCCTGTAGTTTAGTATATCTGGAAGTAGCTTAGAGCAAAACTACACGTTTTATTTGTGTGTGATGTTATTTTACCCTGTTTCAGTCTAATTTTTATGGGTAATGCAGTTTTACTTAATGCAAATCTGTTCATTCTAATTGGCTGGCTTCCTTAAAGGCTGTAATTCTGTAATTCATTTCAGCAGATGATGATGATGATGATGATGATGATAATAATAATGGGAAATTTTATCGTTCTGTGTTTATAGGCTGGGTGGAAGTGTCTCATAAGTGGATTCTGGTTCTGGAAAAATTCAATATATTGTTGCATATTAATATGTGATAAGAACAGGACTATTTTAGACATTATTATTATTATTATTATTATTATTACTGTTATTACTCTTTTTTTAAGTGAATTATTACAATAGTCTAATGGACTAAATCTCCACATGGTGGTGGTAGGAACCGGAGATCCTCTCTGGTGAATCGAGAGAGTGTGTGTGTGTGTGTGTGTGTGTGTGTGAGAGAGAGAGAGACAGAGAGAGAGAGAGACTGTTAAAAGCAAGAGCACAGCTATTCGCAGCCCCACTCAGCATGCAATCCACAAGAGTTTCTTATGACTTCTGCTATTTTTTATTATTTCATTAATTTAAGCAAACATTGCAAAGCCAGTTAAGGTTGCACAATATTTGTCACCAGTGTGCACTAAGACGTTGCTCTTTTTGGATTCTGAGAGCTGTAGAAACCTGTTTCTTGGATGGTTTTGTGCTTTTACTTTCCTTCCATTCTTTAAGAACGTTGTATTGAGTACACTCTCAGAAAAAAAGGTAAGAAACTGTCTCTGGGGCAGTGCCCATCCTGTCACTGGGGTGGGACCCTCAAGGGTACATCTCAGTACCTTTAGTCAGGGAACATAATTGTACCAAGCTGTACTGACTCCACACACCCCGTCTCGTCTCCAGGCTTTTATTTTATTGTTCTGTTTTAAAATATTCGGTTATGAAAAGGAACAAATACAAACTTTTCACCTGGAAAAACGTATTTAAGGTTCACAATCAGACCTTAAAACCACTGTTGTGCCTTGAGGGCACATTTACATTGTTTGTACCTTGATGAAGGGAAAATGTACCTGCATAGAACCTTTATTTCAAACAGTGATGCTGTTGAACACAGATCAGTCTTCTTCACTGCTGTTGGGATTCGCTCCGAATTGAACGTGCATGCTCACTGCTTTGTGTTAAAATGTTCTGAGAGTGGAGAACATCCATTAGTTCTTCTGTGGAAGAACCACTTTTGGTTCAGTAGAGAACCTTTCGGTGAACATTTCTGTAAAGAAACATTTTTGTAAATGAGACAGGCCAGTGTCAGGAACGTCTGAAGTGTAAATTTAATGTCATGGTTCTCCACACCCTTATAAAAAGGGGGGTTCTTCAAGGGTTCTTGAGTAAAGGCAGTGCTTATAGGGCTGAACTCTCAAAGAGCCGACTCCAGTTTTGAGAGTTGTTTTTGAAACTTTACATTATGTGGAGGTTCTTTAAACTTTAGCACTCACACATGTCATTTACAAAGATGGTTCTGCAAAGAACCTTTAAAAAGTAGTTGTTTTATGGCATGTTTATGTTTAAAAGTATATGTAGCACCAACAAGGGTTCTGCTATTGTTACAAGCACCCTATTGTACCAGTCCAACACCCTAGAGCCATTTAAGAACCATATTTTTAAGACATGTTGAAGACACAAAGGGGTTCTTTGGGTGACGCCAAGGAAGAGCCACTGTTGGTTACCTAAAGAACCATGTTTGAAAAAGAGATTTGTGACATAAACACAAAACTTAATGTGCACATAATGTAATGTAATATAAAGTTCTGTGCCAGTTTAACAGTTCTTTCTAGAACATTTACACAGTGTGAAGGTTCTTCACATTTCATTTCCAAAACATTTCTCCAAAGAACCACTGAAAAGCCTCTTTTTTAGGGAACCAAAAGTAGTTCTTTCACGGTGAAAAATGTTTTGGGACCTTTATTTTCAAAGATGTAGATGCGCAGATGGAGATATGAACAGATATTAGATGCGAACTAATGTAGCAAAGTTAATAAGTCTGAATCATCTGCTCTGCAGACAGAATAGATGGAGTTCGGGTCATTAGCGTGTTTTCATCAGTGCGTTTCAGGCATCGTTGGAGATGATGGAGATGTTTCCCCAGCACTGAAGCAACAATGGTTTCTGCATTATGAATCACCTGATTCTGATGAGTTTCCTCATTTGTATCCTTGGCTTTCCGTCCCAGGTAGATCTTTGACCGAGCCTGGGGCGATAATGGGATGGATATATTGATGATGAGGGAAATGATGAAGGCTCAAAGGTCTGATCTGTAGCTTTTCCTCTCGCTGGCAGAGCAAAGCCACAGCTAATTGCCTGTGTGAGAGAGCCCAGGCAGCGTGGCTGTAATTTGGATTAGTAATCTATATCGGCTAAGCAGAAAAGATGATGTTATCTTTCCAGCCGGGCCGTGAATTCAAATCAGTCGCTCTCCGTGACATTTAGGTGCTCCGCTGGAAATGCGGCGAACACAAATATCAGTGTGTTAATCAGCTTAAGCTCGGATTAAGCCCCGTCGGTGAGTAGAGAGAGAGAGAGAGTCGTCGGCGATGAAAATGAATCGTTCAGCAATTAAACTCTCTTTCAGGCTGATTTTTTAAGCTCCTATTTGGTTGAACAATGCTTTTGCCACAGTAATGAAGCTGAAAGCCTGCAGTGAGTGTGGAGCCAGTGACTAACACTGTGTGTGATTGCCTGAATGACCGCACCGTCCACTGCTGTTCAGAGTTTGTGTGCGCGAACGTGTTTGGAAACGCTGGCTGTGGTTGATTTAATGCAATCTCTTTAAAGACCCCTCTCCTCTCTCGCTGTTTGGGTTGCTTTGTATATATGTGCCCACCTTTTTTCTCAGGTTTCAAACGTGCTTTTGATAGATGAAGGCTCCATCATCTTTTCTTAGAGGGCTTTGACGCAGTCGTAGAATCCTGAAGAGTTCTTCACACAAACTCTTATAAGAATGAAAGTTTCTACACAGTTCTTGGCTTTTTAAGGGGAGGAAAAGCGTTTAGAAACTTTATATAATGCGCAGGTTACTTTAACTTGCACATTATATTTACAGAATGGACAATAAATGGCTCTTTAAAGATGTTTTTAATCATGCTCAGTCATGTCCTGTGGAAGTTTGTCCTGTGAGTAACTTTCCAATGTCCGCTAAATGGAAACTGCCGAATTTCTCCTCTTTTAATGTAAACTGGCCGGCCTAATCTTGGTCTGGCTTACAAAAGCAACCCCCTCACCGATCATGAGGCTGATGTGGCTCCTCCCACCCACAGAGCTGTTACAAAACTGCTTATTCTGTGTTTAAGTCATAGAAACTCACAGAGAGAAAGCTAACAACCAAGCGAAAGCTAACCTAGCAAGCATAGCTATACAGCCAGTTCATCCATGTTTGTTAGTCTGTTTGTTCATCCAGCCACACCGGTATTCATGGATGAATGTTCAGCAGTAAAGTGAATGAGAACTTTACCTTGTTTAAGATGTTGCGATATAAAAGCTGGATAATGTTCTTGGAGCCTTGGACACATTAGAGTCTACAGCACTGCCTGTATATCACTGCTGTTGGAACAAAACCAGGAGAAGGAAAAAAACATACTATACTTTTAATGTAAGTCAATGGAACCAGACTTCTTTTCGAGTAATTTTGAGTCGTCTCTTTTTGAGTTGGTCCATTTATCGTGAAATTTACACACTTTGTAAAGGGCAACAGGCATTTTCAAATTATGTCAAAAACTAAAAAACAACAAAAATGGAGATATGAGGTTTTTCTTCCGACAGCAGCGATATGTAGAGTCTGTTTCACTCATTTCTTCACGCTTGCTCTAATGTGTTTAGTCCTGCTTTAGCAGGCTGGGGGTGTTTTTAACATTTTTAACATTTTACACTGTCTTCACATGGACTTAAAGCAATCGAAAGTTGTTTTATAATACCTTTTACTGACACCTTTATTTTGGAATTTATTAGTTTAGTTGACATCCAGTCAGAATTGGGCTAGCGCTCCAGAATGGACAGTAAGTACCCAGATGCCAAACCCCACCTAAAAGGCCAACCACAGGTTCTCCTAACAGAAAATTGCACATTTTGTATGCGCTTAAAGGGAAATTCCACAGATTCTTTCAGACTTCTTCCTAATTAAATTGTTAAGCTCTAAACAAAGTTATTTAGAGTGAGTTTGATGTGAAACGCTCTGAAACTTACCGAGTCACAGTGGATGATGATAGGAACCAGACATCTAAATAGGGTTTTAAACCTCACAAACATAATAATGTATGAAATGGTTACAGATACGCTGCCTGTGGACTGAGACAATGAGTGCATTCACATGCACTCAATAATCCGACCATAATC